CATACATTAGCACATTATTATAAATTTTGTCACCTCATTCACTAGTCATTAATGTGTGTGTTACAACATTTAAAAAATTTTTCTAGTTATCTTCAATTGTATTATGGAAAGTTATGTGAATATTTTTTAAAAATTTATTATTGTCATATTTTGTCATTAAGTACATCATATTTATTTTTTGAATTTGAATATTGTTACATGGCGTATAGAATGTTCTGTTTTAAAATAGTTGTTTGAATAATAGCATTCAATTTACGGAAACACAATAGCCTGAAGAAGATCTCTGAAAATGATCAAAAATGTTCATTTGTGCCAATATAGCTGTCTGTCTGAACCAGTACGGAAGTTATCTGTGAGTATTTATATCCTTTTCCAGCTTCTGAGGTATTTTTTGTAGTAAATTTAATATGTAACCTATAAAATATAAAAGATGGCATGAATATTTATTGAATGAAATTTAAGCAAATTTCTAAAAGTCAAATTTCTTTTGGACTAGACTTGAATCAAGTCTACTTATAACTGAAAGATATTTGATTAAGATTTGAGCTTGGTTGTTATATAATTTTATAACATTTAAACTAATAATTAATCTAGTTTGAAACAGTTGTTTATAGCTTTAAATTAGTATGTATTATCAGGTTGTAAAAGAGAAGGAGGGATGAACCAGTTATAAAATTTGCAAAGGACTTGATGGTTGGTGAGAAGATTCTTAAGTTTTTAATGTAAAAAATGTCAGATTCTACAATAAAAGGCTGGCGTTTGATTATTTTTAAACATTGTGAACGTAGAAACTTTTTATTCCAAAGCTAAAAGACTCCTCTAAGTAATGACACAGTCAATATATAAATATATATTCGATAATTTTTACTTTTCCAGCCGTTATATATAACAGAGGGAAAGTATAGCGCTCGGTCAAAAAATGACCACGCCCAAATTTTTACATTTTTGGACTCAGGACACCTTGAAATTTCAAGATATGCAAAAGATTCAAGGTTTTTTTTAATATGTGTGGATGTTAGACTGTGTAGGGGGGCATGATTTTGTTCACTCTGTTTGAAGCCTAATAATTTCTGTGGTCAGAGTGGTTAGAATCAGAGTCAGATGGTTTAACACAGGAGTTAGTTATTAAGCGTCAGAGTGGTTAGAATCAGAGTCAGATGGTTTAACACAGGAGTTAGTTATTAAACGTTGGAGTGGTTGAACTAAATCATGTCCCCATATACATTCTAACATTGTAGGTGAGAACATCTTAACGGGTTTTACTGTACTATTATAAAATGACAAAAAAGCTTACTTTGAGGATAGAGACAAGTTTTACTTTTTATTTTTTAAATTTTGAATGCTAATAACAAGTAAAATATTCATTAAGAGATATGACACATGACCCCTTTTATGTCTTCATCCTGTTGACCTTTAATTAAGAACCAAAATTTAATAGTATTATTCCCTTTATATGCAAGCTACAGTGCCACATTTCGTTTCTTAAACTTTACCCATTTTGAGATATTAAACAATATCTCAGAACAGAAAGTAAAGAAATTAAACAAATTAGATGCCAACACATACGCACGCGAATTTTTCCTCTTTTATTGACTTTTTTGGGGGTTCGGGTGGTCTCCAAACGTATGTGTAGATTTGCAAAAAAAACTTGGAAGGTCAAATTTGACACAATTTCAATACTTTTCCGTTTTATATACATAGCAAGTTGGGAAATAAAAAGGAGTCAGAGTCGGTGGATTTTTTGACGATTGACTCCGGCTAAAACACCAAAACTCTACGACTCCGACTCCACAGCCCTGATAGGAACACTCATCACTGATGATGCTCTGCAACTGATAGATGGATTTCCATCTATCAGTTGCAGAGCATCATCATCAATGGTGGAATTGCTGCCTGGTGGGGTTCATCTTGAAGCAAGAGATCTTCACCCTTAAATTTCTTAAACCAATTGTAGCAGGTCTTCCTGTTGACTGTCCTTGCCAAATACCTTACTTGTGAGATCATGAGCCTTTATTGCATTTTGACGACTTTTGAATTGATGAAGCAACAACACATGAATATGTTTTTTTGAAAATTTCATATTGTTAGACATTGCTGATACATCTATTTCCAATGAAATATGTGATGAAATGCCCTCTGATTACTTTACTTGTATACGCACATCAAATATTTTAGACCATTTTTTTGCAGTTGTTTCTAGAATAAAATCAAAAAGTATGAATTTTACTTTTATAACCTGAGAGTTTATAATTTAAGATAATTAACTAATATTTTAAAATTTAAATTAACTGTAATAGTTCTACAATTATTGTAAGAATTTGCATAAAATTTTATAATTATATTTATGTAGAAAATCAAGTGATAAATTAATGGCATGAGTTTCTGTGTAAATAGCAAGATTTCACTTTTGTATTTTTGATCATTTATATTATTTCCATTTTAATACTGACTTAAAAAATAACTAACTTAATACTGACTAAACTACAGTAGAGCGTCGTTTATCCGAATCAATTGGGGACTGGGGTGGTTCGGATAACTTATTTTTCGGATAACGAATCATGTACGAAAATATATATTAATTTATCCCATGTTGAAATTTCTCTCCATTGCGTGTCACTTCGCGTTGAATTTTCGTCGATGTTAAGCCTAGCGAAGACTATTGTATCGTTTAAAATTATTTTTTTATTTTGTACAAACAAAATAAATTTATTGAAAAACATAAAAACAATAAAAAATTATACTTCAGATGTTAATTTAGTATCAAAAACGTAAAATATTTGATTAGCCCGAGAAATAGCCGAAGATTGCAGCGCCACAGCACTAGCGAAAATTTAAATTTGCCGACTGGATGCTTTCGGATAACGGACGTTTCGGATAACCAGCTTTCGGATAAACGACGCTCTACTGTATTTCTCTTTTACAATTTTTTAAAATATGATTTTGGCTAAATTCAGATTAAAACTAAATTTCAGGGACTCAAATTACAATAAAAAATGGTTTCGTTTCTGTTTTGGTTTACTTTATCTGATCTGCTAAGAACCAGTAACTGGTTTAATATGGTTTGGTTACCATGACAGTTAATAAAACTTTTCAGTTATGAAATCTAAATTTGAAAATAACAACATTAATCAGCAGCAAATCTTTTAGAAAAACAAATAAAATATGAATTTAAAATAATCACGTTTGTTGTTGTTAAAGATTCTAGCAAAGCAGTTACCAAATAAAAAGTCTAATCAAATATTTATTAAATGACCTAAAATTGTTATAAGTATGAATTATAAAAGAATGACTTTGAACAAAATACATATATACATCTTTATTTATTAAATTTTAAATTATATTGAATAACAAATTTTGAAACATTAACATTANAACAGACAAATATAAATATTTCATTTGATTTATTTGTATTTCTGGTTTATTGCATCTGTTTCAGATGGATACAAAACACTGTAGAATAAATCTAATTGACTAGAAAATTATACTTTCAATAGAAATTGTATTAGAGATTTTTTCTAATAAAATATAATAATTGGTCTTATAAGTATGCTTGTTTTTGGCTACATTTGTTAAAAATGTGGAAATATGAGATATATAAAAGTTGCAAGACGCTTTGAAGTCTACATTTGTAAAAAATGTGGAAATATGAGATATATAAAAGTTGCAAGACGCTTTGAAGTCTACATTTGTAAAAAATGTGGAAATATGAGATATATAAAAGTTACAAGACGCTTTGAAGTCAACGCTTTGAAAGAAATGATAACTTTGTCATGTGACACAAATCTTCCTCTGAGTGGTTAGTTGCTACATTTATTTATTATTGCTCACTAACTTTTTGTTTTCTTTGTAAATATAAATTGCCTTGTGAGTGAAAAACTTCAAAATCTAAAACATATAATCATACATAGTACTAAATTCATAATTACAATAGAAATTTACACTTTATAACAGAATAAATTTTGTAAAAAGAATTTTCAAAACAATTTGTAAATTTTTTGTCAACAATATAGTATACAAGTATATACAGTAGAGTCCTGTACAGTACAATGTGGGGAATTCGTTATGCATTATAGGAAATTATGTTATTGAAACCTGCATCATCACATGATTTATGAAAGTTTAAACCTTGGTGTGTAAGTTGAAAAAAAACATATAGTTCTGATCGGCAAAATTCCAAGGTGTTGCTTGCTTTATTTGCATATTGTACGGAACTCTACTGTACTATGAAAAAAGAATGTCATTGAATAAATATACAAATTATGTTTTGACTTGATTTTGAAGAAAAATTTGAAGAATTGATGACCATATTCTTTTATTTTAAAAAGTAAGTTTGTGATTAATAATTTTATCAAAAATTTTTATGATCAAAATAATGTCCTGAAAAATAAGTAATGTCCTGAATCTTTACAAAGCTGGTTATAGACTATTAAATAACATCACAAACCTTTCAAAAATTCCAGCACAAAAATATATTTAAAATAAATAAGTTGTGACAAATGTTTTTGATCCAGTTAGGATATGTCAGGTCAAAAATGTTCAAAAGAATTAGAATTCAGGATGTTCGAATTTAAATATTTTAAAATTTTCAGAACTGTAAACCTTATAACCTGCATACAACAAAAATCATACCTAAGTATTAACATTAAAATTAAAATAAGTTTACAGTTCTGACGATTTTAAAATATTTAGATTCGAACATCCTGCATTCTAATTCTTTTGAACATTATTGNTAAACTTGATGTAGATCTCAGGAGGAAGTTAAAAATGTTTGTTTTTCATTAAAATGTTGTTACTGGAAGGACTTAGGTTTTTTGTTGTGTATTTTGTGTTACAGAACAGTCCAGTTTGCATAGAAGTTTTTGCTATTTATATTTGTATTGTAATAATTTTATAAGAAAAATGTAATGAAGTAAATTATCATATTTTGTTTTAAAAATTGTTATTAATAAATAAAAATTTATTAAATCCAATATATTAATAATAATAATTTTTATTTTTAGGTGTCAGAAAACCCGTACTTATATGATCCTCATATAGAACTGATTAGATTATTACGCAAATCGGGAGATTTGTTTCAATTAAGGGAAGCAAGAGAAAATGCAAATAAAATTTTTCCATTATCTCCAGGTATTGTATTTTATGATTTTGCTTTTTTTTTTTTTTAAATTTTAGATAAGAATTTTTCAGATAACATCTAAAAAAAATAGTTGTCTTTGCAACATAGTTTTAAAATTAAAACTTTTTCTTGTAAAATTAAAGAAATAATTATTTAAATGAACAGTTTCTCGGACAATTATTTTAATTCATCATTAGTGTATTTTTTTTTTATACAGTAACATAATTTGTATTTTGATTGAATAGTTCCAAAAAATTTAAGTTTAGAAATTCTACTTTTATTTACAGTCTATAAAAACCACAACAGTAAACTGGAATGACATATATAGACTCTCACCTAAATGTAAAATTTCCAGCAAAACNTATTAATGTGCTCAAACAGTGTTTAAATTATTTTACAACCCCATTAATATACCATATCAAGAGGGGTTTTTTTACATGAGAATGGATTAATCATTTTTACATCACTTCTTATGGGAAAGGTTGGTTTGGTGTACATCCTATTCGGTATAAGTCCAAACATCAGGAACTGATTAAGGCCATTTACCGAGGTTCCACTGTACTTCAGTTTTCATATTTGTATGCAAAGGTAAGGAATACACTTCAGTCTAGAAAATAATCTTTCTATGTTCATTTGTGTTGCAGGAATTGCTAAAGCAATGTTAGAAAGAGAATGTAAAGGATGATTGTTCTTTCTATTATAATATTCTAAATTATATGTATTTATCTCTATCTTTTCATTCTATTTTTTTATTTCATTCATAATTTACTAATTTATATAATGTATTATTTTATAATAAATTATTATTCATTAGAGAAAAAATTTTTTTTCTTGATTGTAACTTTTCCAATTTGTAAGAAGCCTGATTCCAATTTCTATGAAACTTTGTGCATACATTTAGGATAGTCCCATAAAGAATATAGGCTACTTTCATTCCCAAAATCATTCTGTTTTATAAGCCTTGATAGAATTATGATATTGACTTGTTAAATTCAACACTGCTGATTTTGCTGTGAGAGTACTACAATCATTACTGAAGGTTTAACTGAAGTGCTTGCAAACAGTGCAGCACTACACTTTCAAATGGTGGATGCTGCAGTGCAGTGCAGCTGTTGGAATGTCTTCTGAGTTATTCAACTTGAATCATTTTTAAATTGTTTCATTTTTGTAATGAATGCCTTGTTTGGGAGGTAAAATTAATGATTTAAATTTAGTGTATGCAGCTTCTTAAGTAGATGATACAGTGATACCTCTGTTTTTGTTGATAATCTGTCTGAAAATAATCAACAAAATCCGAAACTGACGAAAACTGAAGCAATTAATTATATATGAATCAATGTAAATCCAATTAATTTGTTCTAGACACTCCAAAATACATATCAAAAACACATTTTATAGAGAATAAATATAGTGTTTAATACTAAAAACAATAAGAAATTAATATAAAATGAATATAAAGCAGCCGATTTCGGCAATATTAATGTCTCTCTTGTATTTTTCAATGATTTCCTTCTTCAACTCAGTCATGCTCATGGCCTTCTTCTTCAAAAGGCTTTTGGCTCTGGAAACTTTCTTTGGTCCTATGATTGAGCAAAAAGGAAAGGAAAGTAATGGAATTGTTTGTCTAGAGGTGCAGGGTAATAATGCTCATACAACGAGAAACAAAGTCAAAAGCAAGAAAATGCGTGGGTCGCTCTTTGTTTTTGCAAAATTATCAATGAGGTCACGTGGGCACGCTGACGAAAACAGACAAATTTTTCGCAGAAAAAGGTGACGAAAACTGAAATTGACGATAACCGAAGTCAACTAAAATCGAGGTTTATGCTTCTGACACAATATAGTGCTATAAATTAAGACACTTGGCGGATTTTCTCATCTTTATTTAGTTGATACGTGTGGAAAAAACGTATCAACTAAATAAAGATGAGAAAATCCGCCAAGTGTCTTAATTTATAGCACTATATTGTGTCAGAAGCATAAACAAATTGCAAAGCACGGTTTCATATCATCAAAATTAAAATTGAGGTATTACTGTAAAACATTTTAAATATATAAGTTTTTTCAAATTTGATTTTATTTTACTAATGAGTATTTTNTATAAAAACCACAACAGTAAACTGGAATGACATATATAGACTCTCACCTAAATGTAAAATTTCCAGCAAAACATCCAAATTCAACATTCAAATCTTTTTGGCCACTCCTTAATTGGCCTTCATCAGGAAATGTCAAATGAAAATAACTGTTTTATTCATGGAATGTTGCTGTGTTGTACACGTAATTTTTTTAAAAAAATTTTAAAATCAGTTCGAACAACGGTTGTGATGTATATTAAGCAATGTATATTCCTTTAAGAGTCTAAGTAATGCTACCATGCATTTGGTATGGGAATGTAATCTGTGTTGATGCATGCTCCTCTTATGTCGGCCCTGTAGATTTCTGTGGCCTCTAATGTTCTTATGTGTTGTCTGTCGAATACCCTGTGTATTAGGGTAGCCTTTTCCCATAAAGGGAAATTCCTGGCTCAGTGGCATATCGAGTTTACAGTCAATCAAAAACTTTAATTCTAATAGTAATTTCTGAAATTCATAAATTATGACAATGATTAGTAAAATATAAATTATTTAAAACTAGCAGATAAGCCCGGTATTGCTTGGGCAAAAAGTAACAATAGCGAAGATTAAGATTATTACATTACAGCCAATCTTACCCGTTTTCACAGAGTGCAAGACTTAGGTTCCCCTGTTTCCAGACTAATTAGAAAATTTTTAGTTGGGTCTAAAATTATGTTCGATTTAATGCAAAAAAACCACATCTGCACCTATAAATCTTGCATGTTGCTTTCTCTTAACACTTCCATTGTTGAAGTCAATCCTGTCCCTTTCCCCACGAATGGAATTACAAAAAATCCCTTGTTAGTGTGCGTTCTCGTGATGTACCCTAACTGTGTACCAAATTTCAAGTTTCAACTCCTAACCATGCTGAAATGCTCACTATGAAATGTTAGTATACATGTGTGCCATCTATCGTAGGATAAATATACTATGCCAGAAACCTTTGCAGGAGTATATTAAATAACTTCCCAAAGTTTTCATGGCAATCGGATAAATAGTGTAGTAATGCATGAAGGACAGACAGACATACATTCATTTTTATATATATTTAAAATTATAAGCTTTTTATGTATATATATATATTTTTTGTTTCTTTTTACTCTTTTCATTCTATTGGTACTAAAAGGTCTTTTAATTGTACTCATCCTGGATTCAACCAAGCTCATTGGTCATACCAGATATGTCAAGCCCTATTCCAAACTACCTAGCTACCTCTATTGTTTGGAATAGGGCTTGACATATCTGGTATGACCAATCACCTAAAACTTCCTGAAATTTTTGACCATCTGGATTTCATCTTGGGTTCCTGGAGCAGTAGACTGATGCCTTAACTACCTTGGTCATCCAGCTATTGATAACTACTACTGTGTATTGTCACAACAAATTTAATCATTTGTTCATTTTATGGATCAGCCTTCTGATACCATAATAATAAAATTTTCTATTGAATTTTAACTAATTATTGACTAGTTATATCTAGGAAAAAGTGTGACTGTGAAAATTTTTCCTGAATATATTTCTGACCATTTAAAAAAACAAAGAGTGGAAAGTTAAATGAATTATTTATTCTGTATGATTTGTTACTAATTGCAAAAATAGTGTATGATCTGCAATATTTATTGTTATTTTTTTGTAGCAAATAGATTTAATTAATAGATTTTAATTTTTTTTTTTTAATTTATACAAGTTACTTTATACAGTAGTTTAATTAGTAATTAAACATATGTAAAATATGTATAACATAGTAACAAAATAAAGTTACTTTGCAGAATTATGGTTGGAATGGTTAACAGATGAAGCGAAAATAGCTTCATCTGAAGAAGAAAAGATAGCTTTAAATAATTTGTTTGAACGTGCTGTAAAAGATTATATGTGTAAGTAATTTTATTCTAAATTATCAAACAGTAATTTAATTTTATAATTTGTTTGTTCTTATGTCAATTTCTTACACACAGAGATGATAAAGCATCTGTTGAAATAAATGAATATAAAATTTTTTATTTTATAATTTATTTTTAGCATCTGTTGTTTGTTTAAATGTGTACTAATTCAAAATAAAATATTAGTGATGAATATAAAATAATCAAGTTCAAAATATTATCTTTAATACAGTGATACCCCGAACTTACGCGATAGGTGGGACTGAGCGATAACTGCGTAAGTTGAATTCGCGTAAGTCGTGGTATAATTTTGCAATTTGTGTAAAATCCAAATTGGATGTATGTAAGCTAATAAATTATCTTATTAATCTTATCTCATCTTTTGATTCATTCACGGTTACAAGAAATCACCACATAGTCTCTCAAGTCTCCGTAGATATAACAAAAACAGAAATAAATAACACAAAATAAATTGTAGCTATGCGACGATTCTGCGCGACACGTCCAAATATGTAAGCTGAACAATAGTGTGGGGGAGTGAGTATTCAAGAGTTGCGTGGCGCTCAAACAAAAGACGAATCGACAAGATTTGAAAATCGCGTAACTCCGGGTTCGTGTAAGTCGGTGTAGCGTAAGTTGAGGTATTACTGTATTCTTATCAACTATTAATTAATAAAGATACAAATTTTAATTAATATCAGTTAAAAATCTGTATTTTTTTTAAAATGAAAGAATGTATTGTTAAAGTTAGCTGTGTATATTTTTGATATTATTTGTTGCAGTTATAAATGTATCTGTTATTGATTAAACTGATCAGTTTTTATCCAAATTAAACAATAATTAAAATTAATAGTGATGCAAAGATACTGATTATTTACACCAACAAGTTATGACATTAACATGAACAGTCTTTAGACATTATACATGGGAACCACACAAAATTCAACACAATAATTGAATTTTGGGTTATTTCTCTGTGTGATATTTTTATTAATTAATCATTTTTAATTAATTTCTTTTCAATTTACATTTTTTAAACAAGATTGCTCTAAGCTGCAGCCATCAAATGATATTTTATCATACCATATTTCCCTGAAAATAAGCCCTAGCATGATTTTTCAGGATGTTCATAATATAAGCCCTACCCCTAAAATTAGCCGCAGTTAAGATCATCAGCCAAATGGTTGTATTTAATACATCCATTGCAATCCACAATGAATGTATTGAATTATAAAATAATAATAATAAATAAATTTTATTACATGTTAAATTTAAAATACGCGCACAGCTGAAAAACTTAGAAAATTCAAATCAAACCCCAGTAAATGAATTTTACAGATAATATCCGTACACTGCAATACAAGCAACTTTCAACTACCTTTTCAGAAAATTATTATATATAGGACTATGTTATACTAAAAATGTTAAGGAACAATTATAAAGTTTACAAAGGGAAAAAAATGTCCAGGGTGCCTGTGTGTGTTGCGTCTATTTCGTTTAAAATCTCAGAATCGGATAAAGATCAAGAAACAAACTTTGGTACGGTAACTTGTATATAAGGGGCATTGATGCTGTTAAATTTTGGTGGTTAAAGATCGACGGGGTGAGGAAATAAAGGGGGTCATGTGTATCTCCAGTAGAGTCAAATTTAAATTAATTAATGACAATTTTACTCGTTATTAATATTTATGTTTTTTTTTATTATAAAGCTCATCCCTACCCTTAAAATTAAGCTTTTTGCCATTTTATAGTAATTAAAAATATAAAAGTTTTTATAACAAAATCTCATAAAAGATGGCGCCACAACACAATTTTATTTATTACATTTAATATTATAAAAGTAGAGGAGAAGGTGGTATTATGGAACCCCAATTACATTTTAGTGAATTGTAAACAAGGTATCATAACTACATCCACATTTTTTGTGCGAAAAGTACTGGTAACTAGTAAACTAAATNTCCTCGGCATTTGACATTAGCCGCAATCGGTAATTAATTCTGATTAAAGAAATATTCGATTAACACAACAAAACAGTCGTTGTCAAATTGTTAAAGGTGAACCTCGAGAAATGAATATGCAAATTGCATAGATAAATACAAATAATACATTAAGTAAATGTTCTATATATTATATTTTATCAAATTTATCAGAGACATCAATTTTTCTTTTATTAAATTCTTACTGTTAAAAATAGAATACGTAATTTTTTTTGTCACTAAAAAATTCTTGGAAAAGGAATACTAAAACAAATAATTTATCTATCAATATTGTTTGTTTTTTTTTTTGCAATACAATTTTTAAAGCTAAAAGGAATAATTAGAATGAACAAATTAAGAAATGGTTAGCTATCTTTGATTTTGTTAATAAATTATCATAAATTTATTATAGAGTTTCTAATTTTTAGTTCCTGTAAACCAATTAGTAATAAATATTTGAAAAGTTGTTATTTTTTATTTTTATTGTGTATCATTTTCTAATATTATGATGTGAAAAACTTTTATTTATATATATTTTTAATAAGTGATTGAGTGTTTCAATGTTTCATGGAAGTTTATTTCAGATAACTACTTAGTTAATTACATCACACCACACCAGAATAAATGTAATAACAATCGCAGAACCAATTTCCGGTGTGTATAAACAAAAAACAATCTCTGCACAAACATTTTCTAACTCCTGAGTTCTTCAGGTTACCTGGTGAAATATCCTTTGGAACAAATGTGAATTTATAAAAATTTTTAAAAGAATGTAATTCAAATGACCATTCAAACCATAAATATAAACTTAAAGCTGTGCATGCATTGTCCTTCACTTAATGATCAATCAACTGACTTTCTTGCATATTTCACATTTATTCTGTACATGCAGTTTTATGACTATCAAAAATGAAACTGAAAATTTGTGTTTTGTTTTCGCTTGTTTTATTTCTTTTTTAAAATGTTTTGATTTTATATTTTAGGAAACTTTGCAGCAGGATTACATGACCTTGTAACAGGTTTATATGGCATGTACTGTGCATGCTTTATTATTCAAACAACAAATTGTAGTTAGTTTTTCTTATGCAAATTATTTGTTTTTATTTATACTGGGTGAAACTGGTTAATTTTTACTTTTGTTTTTACTAAGAAAAATCAATATGATTTTAAGTTGCATAATTTTTAAAAATACTTGGATAAAAGCAAAAACTTAATAAAAAAAATACTTGCATAAATCATTCTATATATCTGATATCATTCTAAATATATAATGTCAGAAAATATTCTTATAAAAAGTATAAAATTAAAAATTGCTTCAATAATGTTATCAGTTTTCATTCTTCTATTTTGATAACAGACAAATATAAATATTTCATTTGATTTATTTGTATTTCTGGTTTATTGCATCTGTTTCAGATGGATACAAAACACTGTAGAATAAATCTAATTGACTAGAAAATTATACTTTCAATAGAAATTGTATTAGAGATTTTTTCTAATAAAATATAATAATTGGTCTTATAAGTATGCTTGTTTTTGGCTACATTTGTTAAAAATGTGGAAATATGAGATATATAAAAGTTACAAGACGCTTTGAAGTCAACGCTTTGAAAGAAATGATAACTTTGTCATGTGACACAAATCTTCCTCTGAGTGGTTAGTTGCTACATTTATTTATTATTGCTCACTAACTTTTTGTTTTCTTTGTAAATATAAATTGCCTTGTGAGTGAAAAACTTCAAAATCTAAAACATATAATCATACATAGTACTAAATTCATAATTACAATAGAAATTTACACTTTATAACAGAATAAATTTTGTAAAAAGAATTTTCAAAACAATTTGTAAATTTTTTGTCAACAATATAGTATACAAGTATATACAGTAGAGTCCTGTACAGTACAATGTGGGGAATTCGTTATGCATTATAGGAAATTATGTTATTGAAACCTGCATCATCACATGATTTATGAAAGTTTAAACCTTGGTGTGTAAGTTGAAAAAAAACATATAGTTCTGATCGGCAAAATTCCAAGGTGTTGCTTGCTTTATTTGCATATTGTACGGAACTCTACTGTACTATGAAAAAAGAATGTCATTGAATAAATATACAAATTATGTTTTGACTTGATTTTGAAGAAAAATTTGAAGAATTGATGACCATATTCTTTTATTTTAAAAAGTAAGTTTGTGATTAATAATTTTATCAAAAATTTTTATGATCAAAATAATGTCCTGAAAAATAAGTAATGTCCTGAATCTTTACAAAGCTGGTTATAGACTATTAAATAACATCACAAACCTTTCAAAAATTCCAGCACAAAAATATATTTAAAATAAATAAGTTGTGACAAATGTTTTTGATCCAGTTAGGATATGTCAGGTCAAAAATGTTCAAAAGAATTAGAATTCAGGATGTTCGAATTTAAATATTTTAAAATTGTCAGAACTGTAAACCTTATAACCTGCATACAACAAAAATCATACCTAAGTATTAACATTAAAATTAAAATAAGTTTACAGTTCTGACGATTTTAAAATATTTAGATTCGAACATCCTGCATTCTAATTCTTTTAAACATTTTTGACCTGATGCAGATCCTAATTGGATCAAAAATGTTTCTTACAACTTATTTATTTTAAATATATTTTTGTGCTGGAATTTTTGAAGGTTTTGTGGTGTTATTTAATAGTCCTGAAAAATATTAAACAATGTGATTTTTACAAAATAAAAAATTTTTTAAATAATTAACTAAATTTTTCAGAATAACAGTTTTTTATTTACATTTTTTTACCAGTGGAATAGTTAATATATAATTACTAATTGATCCCATGTGTTGGCTTACAAAATAGAATTGTTGCACTCTTTCCTTGCAGTAGGTTGCAAAGACACTGTTAACAGAAAGTTTAACCTATCCCATGTTGAAATTTTTCTCCATTGCGTGGCCGCCATGTTGAATTTTTGTCAATGTTAAGATTAAGAAAAAAAATTTTTTTTTAAAATAATAATTGTGGCTACTGTATCATTAAAAATTATTTTTTTATTTTGCACAAACAAAATAAATATATTGAAAAATATAAAAACAAAAAAATTATATTTCGAAAGTTTGTTTTAATATAAAAATTATGACGCATAGCAACATCTAGTATCAAAAATGTTTCAATGCAGAAATGAGTATGTTCGGGGTCAACAGGTTAGGTCAAATGAGGTCAACAAGAAAATGTTCTGAAACAACACGGGACAGGTAAAAACCAACAGTAAAATATATGGTAACTTGAGTTAGTTACGTTTATCGTGACTAGTTCAAGTTTTTACAAATGTCAACAGCAATCAAATGATAAAAATATTGCTATGGGATGACTTTTTTTTTGTACTATATTATGGTGAAATCTGCATGCACTGAACTTAAGTATAATTAGTTTGTCATGAGTGATAGAATATCAGGTTTTTGCATCCATTTTCATGTAATCAATGTTTCTTTTTACAATTAGAATGACTGGCAATAATTTTGTCAATAAACTACCACACACATAGAAGAAACACTAAATTAAAAAATAGAAGTGTTTTAATTTTTGTTATTATTCACAGCTTAATCTGGTGAGAGCTTCAGTGGAGTCGACCTTTTTGTTGAGAAGCTTGTCTGCCTTGATATGCAAATGAATATTAAAATCTCTTTGATGACAATACAATAAAAAATGTATATTACAATTGTGTTGAATGAAAGGAGAGACAGTTAGCATTTCACTTGATAAAGATGGAATGCCCTCTGGTCCTCAACACAAATATATATACAGTAGATCCCCCTATAAGACGGTAGATACGTTCCGTTCTTTATGAATCAATTTTGTAGGAATCATAGTTTACGGACTACGGCTGTTTGAAAGGTTTTCTTTCATAAAATTAATCGATTCTAGACTAATTCGACTCAACATTTCCAAAATACGTATATTTTTTTG